TTGAGAAAAATTTTTCCGATTTTTTAATTTTCAATCTGGCAACCCTGAGGACACTGTATATGGCCTCTAACATGGCTCATGTGCACTGAAATAACTTACAATGATCTATTATGTCTTTTTGTCTACGCACGTGTACATTAACGATACATTTTTGAACTTTACATGTCACGTGCAAAAGTGCATAGCGATGGGTCATTGCGGTTATAAAAGTGGATCAAACTTTGATATATACAGTAAAATCTCTATTAGTGAACACCTCCTTATTCTGAACACTCTCAGGCCCGGCGAAGCGATTTTTGCTGGAAATGCACCTCTATCTTGTGAACGCCTTTCTATTCTGAACATGAACACTTCTTTTCCAGTCCCTCTTACTACTATAACCTCTCTAATGTGAATATGTTTTTTTGATCTTTTTCTTTTGTTCTGTAATCTATCTCCTTTGCGCTTCGACTAAGTACATTTTTTGAATGATTTCACTGCTATACATGTGAAGTGAAGAATGACATCACTACATGAGCTTACTTCACAAGAAAAAATAGAATTAGGTTTTGATAATAAAGATGGTAATGATTTATCTCAACGTAAATTAGCTGCAGAATATAATATTTCACTTGGTTCTGTATCAAATGTATTAAAACGTAAAGTAGAAAATTAACTGATGTTTATATTAATTCAAAAACAAAAGGATAAGCAACATTAGAAGATTTTTTTTAAACAAAGCTAAACCATATCTTGTATCTGAAAATTTTTCAACTAAAAAACGTTTAAATAAAAATAAATGAATAAAAAAAAAATGAACAGCTCTCACTTAGCTCAAGTCTAATGTAGCAGTAGACATTCTGGATTTTTTTCTTCATTTCACAGCAAAATGTGCGTCACCTCTCTAAAGTGAACATTTTCCTATAGTGAACGCTTTTGAAAAGTCCCAACAGTATTCACATTAGAGAGATTTTAATGTATACATATATATAGTTTAAATAATTTCGGACAGCATCGTTTTTAAAAACATTATTAAATACGAAATTGAGAGAAAATATCATACAGAACAATCTTTATTTCTTATTAGATTGAACATAGACAATCAAATCTAAATAATAAATGAAATTGAATTAATGTTTAAAAAAAAGAATATTTTCTAGTTAAATATTTTGTCTGAAGATAAAACGAGACCATAAAAATTCCTATAATAGGAAAAGACAATATAAAAATTGCTCTAATATTTTATTTAGTAAATTATTCAATTCAATTCCATCCTAATTCGATAACACTTAATTTAAAATTGAAAACTAAACATTTATTTGAATTTATTCAGATAGTGCAGACATAGCCGTAACGAATGTTCCGGATCATTGTTGTTTTAAGAAAAAATAAATTCATTATTCTTATCGTTATTATCCTATTAGGACATCCAGTTATGTTAGACACCTGCTTAGAAAGACTCCTTATAACATACTAACAGGAACATTTCGTACACATCATTCATGAAAATTTTTTTTTTTAGTTGTTAGACACTGCTCTTTTCTGATAGGATTTCATACAAATTATGAGACAATTATAAGAATGATTCTATAACGCAATATATAATTATTCGATGGCCGGTTGTTTATGTTTTGGATGATCCAATGATAGAATTTGTGCTGATTTTTTTTTGATGACATAATATCATTTATTGTATTTAATGGAAAAAAGCTTGAGGAAAATTGACAATGACAGCACTTATTTTACTCCCATCCTCATCCACACACATTCCTATAATTGACAGAAAATTGTCCAACGATAATAATCGGTCTTCTCTCTTCTCCCATAGGCCATGACGTGTCTCAGATAAACCTTGATGCTGTAAACAGTCAACGAGTTCGAACGAGAATGTGCGACTGTATGTGGGTGGATATCACAAATAAAAAAGTACATGTTAATAACAAGATTCGCTTCCATATTGTATTAAGTATAACTCAACATCGAATAGAAAAGATATTATTAGGCGTACCATCAAATCGGAGTATGTTGGCCATATACTCCTGTGCGAATTTATCGACACATTTGAGATCCTCAATATAATTGACGAATAGTTGGGGATGATACGAAATAAAATCATTAGATCAAGATTCTACTTAGTAGTTTCACTAATGAAGAGAATAAAATCAATTGAGACCAATTTTTGATCGCAATCTCGTTCAATCTGTTTGAATGCTCACAGATAGATTTTACTATCTGTGAATACACTTTTTAATTTTGATCACTGTTTGACCTATGATTCATTTCGAACTTGGTTTCTATAGAAAAAAGTAAATAGTGCTGACGTGTAGCACGTTAATAATAATGAGAATTATTGTTTGTTTCGATACACCAGAAGAGATTATAAAAATCTTTATATCTCTGAATGCTGCTAATAAAATTCATATATTCCTTCAAATCAATGAATATATTAACTTTTTTAATCGGTTTCTGTAATCTTTTGATTGTATTAATACAAATCTTATTTTTAATTTCATCAATACTGCTACTGAGGTATACCAGCAGGAAGTCAAATACAAGGTAATTATTATGGTCTTACACCATTATATTCAGGTACCGCAGAAATAGCAGCATCCTAGGTAGAAAATGACAAGTTATGAAAACATTCATCGTATTCATTTATTCTTGTTATAAAAAAAAACATATCAACAATATTATTGTTATTATTTAGAGGTCGTGAAAGTATGAAAAGATGAATGGAGAGTGAACACTTCCTCAATAATTGCAAATTTTTCATTATTGTCAACAAAAAAAGGTTGAACTTTTTTCTTTTAAAATTTTATATATTCTTTCTGAGAGATTTATTGACACTCCATTTAAACTTTTCCATCACTCAATTCTTGAGACTCTCTCACGACTACTAATATTATTACATTATAGAGTTTCGAATATCATTTGAATGATACTCATTTTTCTCACAAACTGATAAAAAATGGTTATATTAAACTTGGAATTATAAACGACTTCATTTACTTCTAATTTATTTAACATTCACCGTACCATCATTGAAATCAAGTCTCGTCCTTTATTTTATCTTGTTTCCACACTTTTTAGTTATTTTTGAAATTCAACTATACCTAATATGAGAGAAATAAATACTGTTATATGTTCACTTGTCTAAAACTTTGATCGAACATTGTTAGTTTATTTATTTTTTTATGTATTGACGTGTAGTATATGTTATTTCCACATGTACTACGAAAATCATCTAAAATCAAGATCACATCACAAAATTCGAGAGAAAAAAATAATTCAAGTTGTTGAAGTATGCTTAGATTTTCAAAGAAACTCTCCAAAATTGTCATAATTTACATTATTCCATTCGAACTCATTCATAACCGAAAGATAGAAATATATCTAATATTTCAGAAATTACTCAGATATGAGAAGGTAATTTCTAGGAAGCTTCAATAATTACTTGCAAATAAAAAAAGTATTTTGTCAGAATTTTTCTCGGAAATTTCTGAAAATTCTTATAGTTTTTGGAGGTTACTTGTTCTATTTCTACACATTTATATCTTCATCCGTTCATATTAAGATTAACTCTTTCAGGATGGAAGATGCGTATAGGTTATTGCAGTTTTCAATTGATTATAAGTAACGTTTAACTCAGTCGGACAAGGTAAACGTGTTTATGTTTCGACTAAAATGGATTCTCATCAAATTTCCATTGATAAGGATCCCTTGAATGCATCATAGCATTCATCATAGAAAAAACACTAAAGCATTAGAAAAGTCCGATCTACTTGCACAAAGAATTCATACTTCGTTGGAGTCATATTGTAGGCGTACAAATGAATTATGGTATTAAATATAATAGTTGGAAATTGATTCGTGACCTTTTCCAGATGAGTAAAAGTAAATGAAAGCCAACATACATGAAATATGGCTTTAGAGGCCTTGACATAATCTATGATATAAACCGTTTGTCTATATATTCATGTTTGCAAACGTTCATTGAATATCATTAATAGATATATGAGAAACTAAACGATGAATATACGAAGTTGAGACATATAAACAAGAATTTCAGTCTGAAGATATGTACCATCGACGACGCATTGATTTTGCGTATGAATACGAAGATACAAAGTTAGCTTTTCGAGATGTCAGATATAATCAAGAAGTAGCACAATTAACTCATTATAATGATGAGTGACATTATAACCTGTTAATGTGAAATATTTCAAATTATGTAGATCATCCTATTACAAAAATACAAAAATGTCTTTAGAATACATATTTATGAGCTTAGCTAAGATAAAAAATTTATGTAAGAAATTGATCGTAAAAGCTAATAGTCAACAATTTGAAACTTTTTACACATTGAAAATAGTAATTTAGATATTTAGACATTCAATTCAAGACGAAAATGATCATCTTAAGAATTTCACAAGATTTGAAGAGACTTTAAAATCGTAAACTTGAATTAGAATTCTGAATCTTCATGAAATATTCTTAATATTATTAAATAGAATAGGTCTTATTTCTAGAGTAAAACTATAATGATTATGCAAACATTCTAATTAACAGAGAAAAATTTCTTCTTAGAAATATTTTCATCAATACGATCTAAAGCAGTATAATTTATTTTGACCATATCATCTTTTATTCTTGTGTATTTTTCAATCTAGGGAGTTCTATATGATATCCTACAATCTCTTCAAATGACGATCATACCAGAGGCGTTATGAGCGAATGAGAAATTAATATATAACATTGATAAATTCTGCTGTTGTTGCTTGGTAATTTACAGAAAATGGTACGCATTCTGTATTCAATAAAAGTCAAAAATTAATTATTGAGAAACAACTAGACAATCTTTTGTATTGTTTATTGCGACAATCGAAACAGTCATTTTTTTGCAATTATTTGTTTAACTTATTTTAGTACGTAGTTAATAATTAATTATAATAGAAAGAAAATTTGAATAATAGGCAAACAAGAACAGGTATCTATTTCTAATTGTTTTACAATGATCAAAACTATTATCCTCTATTCAGGCTTCTACTTATCATCTGGTACATTCACATGAAATATGAACATGATTTTATCGTCGATATTTTTTCTTTACTTTAAACAACATTAATACATAATACAGTAATAGTAGAAGAGAACCAAGTATTTAATGGTAGATTATGAAATGACAAGGATGGATATTCATTAACCGTTGATGCAACAATTGCCAAATGCTTTAGATTTTCAAAGAAAATCATGATATATGAAAATTCACAATCTAGTACGAGTGTTTAACAATGCTAACATTTGGTATATTGGTTATTGTTATGAAGAATACGACCAGTTATCTGATATTTAAAAAATATATCGAAAGATTGAGTTATCAAAGAAAAAATAAATGTCGTTCAATGATTTTGCATATTTGATTTTTGATGACTAAGAGTATATTAAATGCTTATCTGTAAAATAACAGAATACTATCTCTTGTTTGATATCGAACAATTCAAGATAAGTCAAATTTGGATAATCACTAACAAGGAGAATACATTCTACAGGTATTATTTCGAGAATATGTTTCTTTTGATATAGTGATACCTTTGAAACAATATAGAAGTCATTAGTAATTGATGTTGTACTTTAAAAAATTGAGAATGTTAGTAAGTACATCGTCTTGTATCAAAATATTATGTCATTTATTATTGATTCCAAATAAAAGAAAGAGAACCTAAATATTATCAAGTTTCTTTGACATGATAGTCAATATTTCATTGGGCAGACCATGACGACCAATATCAGACTGCTTCATGTT